GACAGGGGGCATGCGCGAGGGAGGGGGTGGGCTGGGGGGGATCTTTCCTGTTTAATTACTACCCATCATGCTTTGCTCTTAGTGGTGCCCTGGGGTCAGAAAGTCCGAGGCACGGACTGGGCTTGGGCTGAAACCTGGGGATGGAGCCATAGGGGGCTCTGAAGAAACACCACTAGCACATAATAGCAATAATATATTGCAAAGAGGCAGGAGGCTGAACAGAGAGGCAGCAGCTGGGGGCAGGGCTGGGACTTGTCTCCTCAGGGGCTGAGTGTCAGGGCATAGGCTGGCTCTGCGGGGTCAGAAGTGGCCTTTGGAGTCTCTTTCTTCTCTTCTTTAAATGTCTCCCACAGAGGGGCTTATTCTTCCTGCTCCATGAGAGTGCGGGGTTCCCTCTCCCTTCCTCTGCCACTCTCCCAGGGTGTGGGTAGAGCTAATGCTCCCCCTCCTGCTGCCTTCTTGGGCTGTGGGGTAGAGGCATCAGCTCTGAGGCCACCGCTAGGGGGTAAGAAAATAATTCATTTCTCATGCCCTCGCTCTGGATTTGTGCAGCATTTACTTCAGCCTTTGCCCTTGGATGTGGCTCCAGGGATGGAAGTGAGGGGATGCTCAGGGCTCGATCCATGGTGGCCTTGCTTGTGCTGGATACAGGAGGGATGGAGATGGTGTCGGCTGCCTGCTGGGAACTGGAGGAGAGCACAGGCACATTCAGCACTAGGCACTGCCAACAGGAGGGCGCAAGCACATCTATCGGACACAATATGCCAGTGGCCTTTGGACTCGATATCTCTCCAGTGCCCCTTCAGTCAATGTTTCTTTGCCTTGCTGTGTTCAGTGAACAGTGTTTCTGGCCTTACCCCATTTCCAGGATCCTCTCTTTTATCTCCTTGAGTTTACTGTTGGGCCCTGGTGCTCATTCCTGTCCCATGTAGCAATGATATAAGTCAAAGAAGGTGCAGCAAGGGGCTAGGAGGGACTGTTCTCCCTGACTGCTGAGTCTGATTCTGCTCCATGCACCATGGCCAGCCAGCCATGAAGGAAGAGCTCCTCTGGCAGAAGGCTGGGCCTGTAGGGTTAATGTGGACAGTGGCAAGAGGACTGGGGGACCAGTGGGAGGCTGTTTTCACTCAAAGGAGTGGAGAATCCAGTTGGCACCAGTGTCCCCAGTAGGCCTCAAGGCCTACAATTTTATATGTGGACCCAGGGACCTCCCTTCATCTCCCCTTCCCCGTTGCTCAACCACCTGCTCTGCCTTATTTGCCTGGTGTTGCAGGGAGCTGTTGGGTATGGAGGTCTCTGCTCAGCTTGGCACCTGTGAGAGGCTCACCTGCCCTTGCATACTTTATTTTCAGTTCATTGCCTTGGGTAGGGAAGGGCACAGTCCCCAGAAAAGAGGGAGCCAGGATGTGCTATAAGCACTGGAGATCCTTTCTCAGAACCAAGTATGACTGAGGCAGTGACAGACCAGGTACAGGCAGCCATCCCCCTACCAGGGAAGCCTGGGCCAGAACTGGTGCACGTGCCATAGAGACTGTGCTCCTGCCCTGCTTTGCCCCTGCCATGGCTCCCCCGCAGCACTTTAACAGATGGTGGATGGAGGAGACGATGAGATTGTTCCCAGGCGCCCCTTCACACTGCAGGGGATTGGGAAGGCTCTTGGATAGACGCATGTTGTGGGACCTGGCTGCCAAGCCCACCCTCCTGCTAGCCACCTTCACTCTGCTGTACAAAGCTGATCTCTGTCGCTTTTCTGACAAAAGCTTCCAGAGCTTGTAATCAATATAGATATATATATTTCGGCCGGAAATATATATATTTCCTTTACATGGTTTGTTCCCCTTGAATAAATTAGTTTGAACTTCAATTTCTCATCCATTTGTGGCTTTTTTGTCTGGGACAAAATATGACCCTGGTTTGAGTGTATACTTCTCAACTGATGTCCAAGGAGCTGCATGGGTATCTGTCTGGCCCTGTGAATTTATTCCCAGCCAAGCTAGAGCCAAATGGAAGCTGGCACAGACTAGGCCAGGGCATGTGGGCCCCACACAGCATGGGATACCTCCGCTGTATTTATCCTGCCGGTAGAATTTTTTAAAATAATAGCAATGTATGAATAACTGCAGCCGTCAGACACGATTACAGAGTGAATCAGCTACTAGCCTGGGTGGGAATAGTTGATAACATGCTTCACTCCACCTTGAAGTTTGAATACCCAAGAGTATGGGTATTCCCAAGAGAAGGACCAGCATGCACAGATCCCCAGGGAAAACTGAGCTGGTTTTCCCATCTTGCCACTAGATGCCACCCTTGATCCAGTGAAAGCTTTCATGAAGGGCCAGGCCTCTTAGCTAGATGAGCACACTGTTTATTACATCTTCCCTTGAGGGTAAGAGAGGTGGGATCCAAAAATCAGTGAGGAATTTGCAAACAGCACCTGTTTCTGAAGGGATAGGGCTACGGCAGGGAGGATTTAACCACAGGGGCACTGACCCTGCAAGAAATAGGGGCCTTCTCGGGGTTCCTGAATACCCTCTCTACCTGTTGCCATTAACCCCTTGAAGGGCTGTGCTTTGAAAAGCAGCTGACCACACCTTCCCATCTGAGCCTCTCCCTGGAGTGAGTTGCTTATGGGGATGGGATTTTGCCCTCATACCATACGTGGCTGCTGTGTAACACCCCCTACATTCCTGCTGCTCTCTTTGTATCACACCCTTCCCCAGTGCTTTCCCAATGGCATTGGAGAGCACAGAAGAGGAGTTTGAGAGCAGGAAGTCTTCAGGAATAAAGGGATGAAAAGAGGAGCCACATGATGACACAGCTGCAGCCCTGCCTGCCAGGGAGAGGTGTGAAGTTATGGGAGTGTTTCCCAGGGGAACTGGCAGAAGTCACTGTGGGTGAGATGTTGGAACAGAGCAGTGGAGAGTCCACAGCAGAAAGCAATCCACATGTAAGTTGGGAGTTGGATAGATCTTAATGGGCCTTTTCCAACTCTGATTTTAATGGCCCTTTAAAACTCCTTGAGTAGTTTTTATTTCATGCTTGGCTAGTCCAGACTCCAAACAGGCTTCATTCTGCGTTTAATGGCCAAAAGAAGTTCATACTGAGTGTTGATGGTAATTTCTAACCTCACCCTTACACAATACTTAAAAAAATTAATATGGATTCCTGGCTTGCTTTGGCCAGCCTTTTAGTGTATTCAGTAGCCAACCCAGACAGAGAGTCTTGTTAAATATCACATGAAAGTAGGTCAGCAGGCTTTTCAAAACTGGTGGGGACATGACCCTTCAGTTGAAGGTGTTGCTGGAAGAAATTTTCTAGGCCAGCGTCTCTCAAACACGGTGTCTGTCCTTAGAAATCATTGACCCCTGCTGTTACAAGGTGTTTTGTAGTTGCATACAGGTAAAAAGCCAATAGGTAAGGTGTCAGTAGATTTTTTTCTTCTGCTGAAAAGTATGTCACGGATCATATTCTTTTCTGAGCAGGTTCCCCAAGGTCACAAGGTGCTGGGCAAAAACAAGCATGTGAAATGGCAACACATGCTAAGTATTGCAGGGTTTTACTAGCATCACCAGGCAGATTTCCAGGAAAACAATGTAAGTGGTGACTGCGTTCAGCAATTGCCCTGTTTCCATAAACTCTGGGTAATGCCACTCATGATGGTTTCAGCAGGATCTAAAGATGAAGCCAACTGAAAGTCAATACAGCTCCTGGAAGGACGGTCCTCTCCTCTTCCCACCCAGTATGTGATCCACTCCCTCCACCACTTGACTGAGAGAGAAAGCTGAGGTTCACGGATGCATATCGGGTCTGACTCCTCCACCAGCCAAGGAGCTTCCAACTTGCTTCAGAGACCACCTCAAGGAGGGAAAGAAGAGCTCACTCTCTGTGGTCCATCCTCACCAATAGCAATACCAACATGGGAACGATCCATGCCAGTGGGAAGCCAACTGGGGGCACCAACCTCTTCTTACATAGGCCCCAAACAGGCAGAAGGTTCAGACTTGCAGCCCTTACTGACGTGGGTTGAGTGGCAATCAGGTGTGTCCCCATGACTAGCACGGCCCCCACTGCTGTGGTACCCGAGGAGCTCACCATGTGTAATGCATTTATGTCCACCCTAACCCTAGCAGAAGCAAAGTGCTGTCGATCTTTTTTTACAAGAGAGAACTGAGGGGGTGGACAAACAAATTACAGTGAGCTAAAAGGGAAGAAGGACTTACTGCAAAGCAGCTGCTCTTCAGTAGCTGTCCACCATACTAACTTCTTATTCCCATTTCACTCAGGGCAGTCCTATAGTGGTTTCACTTTTACTTACCACAGAGCAGGGTCAGGACAGTTACTGTAGATGATCTGATGTATGGCAAAACTTTGCCCCACTTTAACTTGCTTGAGACACAGAGACCTAAGTCAGTCCAACCTCTCCTCCACCCTCTCTCCCCCTCCCTTTCCTCCCCCCACAACATACTTCTCTCCAGGGCTGCTGCTTAATTGTTGTCCCTCCTTCCTCTTCCCCTTCCCAGCAGGGCACCAAGACATTCCTGCATTATTCATCAGTTATGGATGAACCCATGGTATTGCTCTTATACCTAATGGGCTTTGTGTCAGAATTCAAGTACTTCCAGAATAAATACAGGCAATTTCTGCACTGGAATGAGCAGGCTTTAATTGAAAATTGCTTGAGTTAAGGAGAGGGATCTCTGTCTTTTAAAGCAGAAGACATTTCATGGCAGAGTAACTAGAAAAAAAGCTCCTTAATATCATTTCCTACTTGCTATTGACTTGTCATGGACAGATTTTTTAAAGGAATGCAGCATCCAGCCACTCTGGTCTCAGCTGGGTTTAGGGTGTCACCATGGTTCTCAATGGGAGTTTGGGGATAACGAGCCCCTTTGAGAATCTGGTCCTTTATGACAAGTCTATAGATTTTTAATGGAATATTTTTAAGCCACCTAAACTGTATAGGGCTGATTCTGATGCCACTCACCCAGGTTTTCTACTGGTGTAATTTAGCTGATGTTTTTGGGAGCTTCTGAGAGCTTGGCACATTGGAAAATCAGGTGGGTGACTCGAGACCCTAATATGGACATAAAAGTCTAACTCCAAGCTCCTGCGTGTGACATGGTTGGTCTGTCCTCAGCCAGTGATCCTGGGTCTACTTAAATGCACGTAGCAGGTGCTCTGTCCTTACTGCCGTGAGGAATACCCGCAATATCAGTCGTAACCTGTACTGCTTTTCACCTTGATATAATTCTTCACATGTCCCAAAAGGTCTCGGTGTCTCATTCATTCCCTGCTGTGTGGACTGCTCTCAGGAAAGTGGAGCTGTGCAGAAGAGCAGCATGTGTTTAACCACTATCAGAGGCTTGGAAGGGACCTTTTGGGTCATCTTGTCCAGCCCCCTTCACAAATGCAGCACGCACTTATCCTAAACTATCCCTGGCCAATGCTTATCTGACCTTTTCTTTAAACCTGCCAGTGAAGGAGATTCCTTGACCTCTTTAGGCAATTTGTCCCATCACCCTACTGTTTTTGCAGTTGAGGACAAAAAGGCATGACTCTAGCCCACGCTGCTGCAATAGTACAGAATATGATCATTCTTCTTCCAGTATTAATCCCAGAAAGACATTCTTTCCAGTGGCTACATAATTAAACACTACCTAATTAAATTTCTTAGAAGCAGTTGAACAGGCAGGGCTTAATAATAGGAGTGATATGAAGGAACAGCTGAAAACCACCAAGGCAGAAGAGATCATATGAGCATGCCTCTGCCTTTGTAAGCTAGCTGGGGTCAGTCCCTGTCTTAAAGGCTCTGTGCTTGCCTTGGCAGCAGCCAGATGGACCCCTGCAATCAAAATGAGCCCCACTGAAATGACAGAGGCTCCATACAGTTGCTCTCCTTTGCAAATTTAAGTTTAAATAGAGCCGGAGGACAGAGTAGCAGTGACTTGGCCAGACTACCGAGCTCCCATGTGGCGAGCTCAGGAGTTGTGCTATCTGTAAGTGCAGACTTTGTTTCCTGAGGCCAGATCCTCAGCTGGTGTAAAGTGGCTTCAGTGGAGCTACATGTGCTTTTACACCAGCTCATTTCTTAACCTGTGTTTATTTTCAGCACTTGAGGCCTGGAGGCATGGGGGAGGCAAGGGAAACAATAACCAAGAAATGTGAAATGATCTCTAAAAAGGGTTCAAAACCACTTTGCTCTCTATTCTAGTGCTAGCTTGCCCCTGATAACAGTACATCCCCCTCAGGCCCTGTCCCTCCCCACATGGACACAGAGACATGATTCAGGGCTTTGGTCAGTATATAGCTTTTTGAGGATGCAATGAACTGGGCTCCCACCATTTTCCACGGGTCCCTGTTCCTCCAGGACCTCAGTCTTTTCCTGACGGCTTATATTCCTGGTGCTCCAGTGCCGCAGTGATGGGCACACATCCAAAGCTCACTGAAGTCAGTGAGACTCCACAATGGATCAGACCCTCAGCGTCTAGCTAGGTTGGTTCCCAGCAGGTTGATCTGGTGGCACAGCCTGGCTGGTTGGTGGTGGGAAGCCCTTTTCCCTCACAAGGCTGTCCTGAAAGCCCAGGGGCTAGCTAATCAGGCAGAGTGTTTTATTTCTCTCGACATCCTGGCTGGCTGACCAGGCCCCCAGATTCATGGGGTATGGTGACGTCCTCACTATTCATCATGGTCCTGCATGGCGGCTTCGTGCCTCAGACCTGCTGACATGCTCCCTGATGTTACCTTCACACTCTGACATGAGATTTCCCTCTGCAGCAACATTGGCCGGGTAGAGAGAGAGGATGCACATGTGTGTTGGGAGGGGAGAGCTAACATTTGCTGTCTCTTTAAGGATGCTCTCCTGTTGCTACTTCACAGAGTTCAGAGCAGATAGCTGTTTGCCTTAGCAAGAGTAGGGAGGAGGAGAGGCGGGGGAGGAAGAAAGGCGGGAGGATACTAAGAGGAGAGATTGGCATTTTTGCATCATTTTCTTTAAGTCACAGAGCAGCCGATAAAAAAAGTCTGGCTGGCACCATACATCCCCACCCCCACATGCCCTGAACGCACCTCTGTCCGAGGGGAGACACCCCCATGCTGCCTTCAAATGCACCTGCATGCTGCATCTTGCTCCCACCAGCCAGATCCCGTAGGAGCACCTCTCTCCCCTTGCATCAGGGCTATTCTGACTCTTGCTTTCTCTGAAGGCAGCCACAGCAGCAGTGATTTTAGCCACGCAGGAGCTAAGGAGGAAAACCCCAATACCTCAGGACAAAGAGCCCTACAGGTAGGCAAGCAGGGCTGCAGGGAGACACAGAAGCAGAGCCAGGAGCCACCGGCATCTGCTCCCACTGCTGGCCTCTCCCCAGGGGAGTGACACACCATAGGGTTGCAGTCACTAGGAAATGCCTCCATGTGAATGATGGGGAAACCTTTCTTCTGCTGATCTGCTCGTGAGAACGTCGCTCTGCCTTGACTGCCAGTGAGAGAGAGGGAGGAGGGGGAGGAGGAGGAGAGGGGGAGGGAGAGAAGAAAGGAGGACAGAGAGAGAGAAAGACAGACAGGGAAGGAGGGAAAAAGAAGGAGATGGCACTTTAAAAGCTGGCCCTGGCAATGATCACCAGAGCAGCCCTGAGGAACCTGCCGGTGCCCCCTCCTCAGCCATCACCCAGCCAGTGAGCCTCCTCGATGGAAGAAGATTTTGGAAGCCCCAATGCCAGTGTGATTGGGGAGAGGTCTCTCCCTGGCGGGAGCAGCTGGGTGGCCGCCTTCCTCTGCTTCATCATCCTGCTGACTGCCGTGGGGAACTTCCTGCTCATCCTGCTCATCTTCACGCAGCGCTCCCTGCGCAACACCTCCAACTACTTCTTGGTGTCCCTCTTCATGGCCGACCTCATGGTCGGCTTGGTGGTCATGCCGCCAGCCATGCTGAACCAGCTGTATGGCCGGTGGGTGCTGGAGGGTGAATTCTGCTCCATCTGGTACGCCTTTGACATCATGTGTTGCAGCGCCTCCATCCTCAACCTGTGCGTCATCAGCCTGGACAGGTACCTGCTCATCATCTCCCCGCTCAAGTACAAGCTGCGGATGACCTCCTGCAGGGCCGTCTGGCTCATCTTTGCGACCTGGACCTTAGCCGCCTTGGCCTCCTTCCTGCCCATCAAGATGGGGTGGCACGAGCTGGAGTTTGAGATCACACCACTCAACATCACCTCCCACATGGAAGAGGACCAGTGCAGGCTCCTGGTCAGCTTGCCTTTTGCCCTGATAGCCTCCTGCCTGACTTTCTTCCTCCCATCTGTGGCTATTTCCTTCACCTATTGCCGGATCCTCCTGGCAGCCAGGAAGCAAGCGGTGCAGGTGGCGTCGCTCACCACCAACGTGACCTCCACCTCAGATGATCCCACACAACAGGTAAAGAGGCTTGATGTGTGGGGGCATGATTTTCCTAGGTGCAGGCAGTGGAGTCTACTTGACCCACAATCCCTGTGGATCTTGGGCTCTGCCTTCCTAGGAAAGCTTGGGGCTCTTGCTATAGTATCCACAGTGGTGGGGACTGCAGGAGGTTGATGGCTTGCAGGCTCACTCAAGTGATGGACTCGCTCGGGCTGGTAGGAGCTGCACCTTGGCAGCACTGTTCCCTTGGATCGCCGGTAGTGGAGAAAGGGGAGCTGGTACGGTGAGAGCCAGGTGGTCTGGGCAGGAGAGGGACGGTCAGGACTGACCCACCTGCTGTCTGTCCCTCCGCAGCAGCCATCGCCAGTTCAGAAGCAGTGCTGAGGAGCAGAAGCCAGCAGCTAGAGCAGTTTCCTTAGCCGAGACAAGCCTGATTTCCCCCCTGAACTCTGCAAAGGCACTTATATCTCTGGAGTGGAAAGTTAGAGAGACTGATTATGGTGCAAGCAGGAAGCTCAGGGAACGAAGAGTAACTTAAGGCTGTTGAGAGAGGACGTGGAGAAGGGAAAAAGCCAGGAAAATTCTCCCCTTTTCCTTTCCCTGTATCTGTTTCAGGGAAGGGGACAGGTTGTTATTCAATCTCCTCCTAGGAAAAATCTTTCTGCTCTATGCCTTTCCTACCCCACTATTTCCAGGAGTTCAGCCCAGCAGGGGAAAACACCCACTGATTCAATGGCAGTTTGGGATCAGGCCCTAGCCCTTGGTCAGCCCACCCCAGGCCTTTGAATAGTTGCCCTGCAGCTCTGCCTGTCCCCGGTTAATGATGCCCGGGGGCTCTGAAAGGAATCTGCAGACTGGTCAGGGGCAACCTGAGGAGAAAGCTCCTCCTGAGAGTGGTGGAAAGGTGTTTGTTGCTGCTGCGGTGGTGTCAGGGGCCTCGGGGGTGCTCCCTGCCATCAGTCCTGGTGGGTGGAGGCTCTTTGCTGTCTTCTAAGTATGCTGGGGTTTGTCAAGCTGAGGCAACCTGGTCAAGGTTTCTTTCTGCAGCCCCGCCAGCCTTTGCTATCCTCCTGACATACACAACCTTGGTGTTCGGGACTTGTGGCACCGCTCGCTGCAATGCTGATTTTCTGGTCATGGGAAAAGGGTAACGGAGAGGCAGGGGTCTGCTTCTGTCCCATGCTCTGCTACTGACTTGCTGAGAGACTCTGGCAAGTCACTTCCTCTCCCTGCGCTGTCCGTTCCCCACCCCTGTAAAACGGGGATGATGATAACCTGGTTTCCAGGGTTGTGCTGAGCCTTCACTGCTCCTGCTCCTCAGAGAGGAAGTGGTACGTAGACATAGGCTTTATTAAAGACCACCTAGTTCAGTCCAAATGCCTTTTGTGTTGCTGCTTCCCTGACATCTCTCTGCACTGCCCTGCTTTCCCAAGCGCCTGCAATAGGTCCCCATTGCCCCACAGGGCCTGGAAGAGAAGAACTGCAGGAGCAGGTGAGGCGCAGAACAGCATCTGCACCCCTGCTCACCTCTTCAGGCAGGAAAACTCGACAAAACTCCCTGGGGGGGCCTGATACTTTAGCGCCTGCACTGCAAAGTGCTGATGAGGGCTTGGTCCAGAAAGGTGCTGACTGCCCTCCATTGCTTGATTATGATGTGAGTTGGTAGGGCTCAGCGCTGCCTAGACCCAGCTGAGCACCTCACAGGATCAGACCCAAGGTGTTAGTAATGAGATACTAAATGTGGGCTTTCTGCCTTCACCCTCATTAGCCTCATTACCACCAGCTGAGCACTATGTCTGGCCAACCGACACAACCTTGTTCATTGTGCCTGAGGGCCTGGGCCTGAGAACAAGGCACCCTGGGGTAAGCGAGGTGTGAACTTATCATTGAGGAGCAGACGAGTGGTAACAGCTCAGGTGTTTTTACTCCATGGTAGGTGTGAGGTAGGTTGTCTTGCAAACCAAGCAGCGTACCTCATGCAAACTCATTCGTGTGCCCATAGCGTGAGAATTGTAACGAGGGGCAAATGACCCATATTTGACCATATGCTTGTGTATCTATAATATGATGAGCCTATGATGGTTGAGAAGACCAATGGGAATCCAGCACAAAAACGGGCAGCTCTTCAGCCTCTGTGGTGCCTTCCCTGCCACATCATGATTGCTTAGTGGCCTGTCCCCAGTGCCCCAGCCGCGATGGGATCTGGTCCAGCAGATGACGCTGCACCTGTACCTGAAGCGGGCTCTAGAAAAAGTACGAGCAACCAAGGCCAGTTAGTCCCTCCCCAGTTCAGGGGAGGTGGGAAGAGGTGGAGGTTCCCCACACTTCTTTGCTCTTGTCTGAAGAGCAGGGACTGCCCCCGTGCAGTTGGGCCCTTGGCTCAAATGCTTACTGTGTCTGGTCCTGAAAGACAAGGTACAGTTCATGGGGTATGGTGATGTCCTCACTATTCATCATGGCCAAGTGAAGGATCCAAGCAGGATGGGATGTGGGTGAATCAGACAACACTGGGTTGGGGGAAGAGGGGCTAATGGACAAGGGTGAGAGAAGCTGGCCCTGATGCCATCTAGATTGAAACCAGTATGGGGTGACCTGCACCTGCTCTACTGGACCCAAACCTCCTTCACCACGCTGACCAACGGCAAGCATTGGTTTGATTGTTATTAGCTGAAAGGGTCCTTAGGGAAGTAATGAAGATTTCTCCTTCCCCTTACACCAGTTTTATACTTGGGGAACTCTGCTGGATTTGCTGGTGTAACTGGGCAAAGAGTCCCTCTGCAGCCAGTTTGCCTCAATGTCTTTGGAACAATGTCCTTGTCTGTGTGTGTGCATGTGTAGATCCCCCTACTTTCAGCTTCTTAGCTTCAGTGCTGGACTATTTATATCTAGGACTGAAGAAGGTACAGCTTCATTTCTAATGACTGAGACTTCAGAAATCAGGAAGAGGAAAAATTATCTGGAGGGCTTTAAAGACATTGTCCTGAGTCTCTCCCTCTCTCTCCTTCATGCAAACACACAGAGACTTGTACACTGGATTCACTGCAAATGTAATTGTTGCTGACTTCAGGCCCTTCCTGGCTCACTGCTCTGGGCTGGATGTTTGGTTTCTCTCAGATATGAGTGAATTCTTTAATCTTTCTCCCCTTCATGATGATCAAAGTGTGTTGGGGTCAACGTATGGCATCCCAGGGCCTTCCAGGAATGACTGCACTCGTTACAGACAGACAAAAAAGAGAGGATAGTTTAATGGAACACATCCATCATGAGCAGGGAACCTGATTTCCTCTGATTTAAAAAAATCCCCAATTTTCAGTTAAAAAAAAAGTAATCCCACATCCACATTTTTCCATGATTAAAATGAAACACCACTATCTATATCTATATATTAACAGTGTTTCATTTAAAGCACAGAAAAATGTGGATTTGGGTTTTTTTTTTAAATCAGAGAAAACCGGATTGCCAACCATGAACCTTGCAAATCTCTCTCCACTCTCTCTCTGGACACCCTGAAACCCCCCCGCCCAGGAGGGTGTATTGCATGTCTACAGCACCTTGCACTTAAGGATCTCAAAGCACTTGATTAATTATATCTCCAAGACTCCTCAGGGATTGAGTATTTAAAATCCCCTGTTATAGATGGGGAAACAAAGGCACAGTGATTTGGTGACTACTGGGAATGGCACCCAAGGGCCCAACTGTCCTGAGATGGGGCAGTAGGGACTCTTTAGTTCTGGCCCCCTCCTTCTCCCAGTCCCCTGCTCACATGGGGCAGCTCCCTGAGGTTTCTGGGGCTGCAAGAGCAGACCAGATTTCACTTGGAAACTGGGGGTGCCAAGGAGATTTGCTGACCAGAAAGAGCCTTGCTCTCTCTTGCTCTCGCCCCCTTGCTTGTTCAGCTGTGGAGAAGGGAACAGCAGTCACAAAAATAACCGTGTGGAGGAGGAGAAGCTGTCACGCCCATTGTTAGGGAGCATGGAGCTTGATGCCGCTCTGCTTGGTGCGGCTTGGTGGCAGGGAAGGGATAGGGAATGACAGCAGCCTCAAAGCACTGGAAACCACTTTCTTCCCCTTTTTAGAAAGAGCCTTCCCCTGTTGCCATCTCCTGGGATCTGCGGGACGTCGGCAGGCTGGAATTAGCAAGAAACAAGGTACCCGGTGCTGAAGAGCTGGATGAGGGTAAAAGGCAAGTGGGAACCATTTATCCAAAGCCCCCTGGGTTCTGCTGTGTGCCTTTAGTACATCCCACTCAGCCCTGGGCTGCAGTGGCAGGGCTGTTGCTGGGCTCTGTACTAGCACCACCCTATTTGTCTCTGTCAGGAAATCTAATTAACCTCTGAGCTGGGTTCATTAGTAGTTGCTGTGAGTAGGGACTGGATGGCCATGCATGCACCAGATTTGTGACAGGTGCTGAACACTGAGATGAACAATATATCCTCAGGTCTGCCACTGAAATACAACGTAAGAGAGATCTCCCTGCTCAGCTGCTTCCAGATGTCACAACCCTCGCTACCTTTCCTGCCCGGGGAACTTAATTCACCAACTTGTCTAAAAGGAATGCAGTAGCCAAACTAGGACCTGCAACCAGGTCAATGGAAGTAGCAAGAGGAACCCAGATGTGGCACTATATCCTCAGCAACACGTGTGTGTGAAAGGTCTCAGCGTCAAAAGAGGACTTTTGGCAGAACGAAGGTGCCAAAGTCTAGAACTGCGGCTGTGAACATCTACCCTTAGCTGCTGCCCACCCCTGCGGGTGCCTGAACTCCAGCGGTCACAAACTCCTGAAAGACTATTTCAAGCTGGACATAAGGAAAAACTCCTTTACTGTCTGAACCCCCAAGGCCTGGAACAGACTCCCCCCAGTGGTGGTGAAGCACCTACTCTGGACACTTTCAAGAAACATCTGGATGCTTATCTTGCTGGGATCCTTTGACCCTAGCTGACTTGGGTGGGGGGCTGGACTCGATGATCTTGTGAGGTCCCTTCCAGTCCTAATGTCTATGAAATCTATGAAACTCTGC